AAAAAAAAAAAAAAAAAAAAAAAAAAAAAAAAAAAAAAAAAAAAAAAAAAAAAAAAAAAAAAAAAAAAAAAAAATAAAAATAAAAAATAAAAATAAAAATAAAAATAAAATAAAAAATAAAAATAAAATAAAAAAAATTCATTAAAAAAAATTTACCGAGTTGATCAAGCATTTTGTCACATTCATCAAGCACAAAGTGCTTGACACTCCCCACTCTGAGATGTCCATCATTTACTAACGCTAAAATCCTTCCAGGTGTACCGACGACAATATGAGGAGTAGTTTCTTTGTTTGAAAACTTCTTCATATCATCTTTGACCACAGTACCTCCGAAGAAGACATCAATTTTGATTTCAGGCATATACTTGCTAAATCGAGTATATTCATTTCTAATTTGGTAGGCCAATTCACGAGTATGGCATAGTACAATAACAGATACTTCACCAGGAGCAGGTTCCACTTGTTGAAGAGTGGCGAGGACGAAAACTGCGGTCTTTCCCATTCCAGATTTTGCTTGACAAAGGACATCCATACCAAGGATTGATTGAGGAATACATTCTTGTTGAACTAAAATACAGTAAAAAAAAAAAAAAAATCAAAAAAGAAATTTTTAATTATCTACAACATTTTTTACTCGTAATTATATAATATCTGTATACATATAGATTTTTAAAATATACAAACCTTCAGAAGGATGTTCGAACCCACAATCAACTATGGCACGCAGTAATTCGGGTTTCAATAGGAAATCTCTAAAGCCGGTAGAGTGAATGCCGACATAACTACCCTTTTTATCTTTTTTGTCTTCTTCGGTAGCGTCTTGACCGTTAGTAGGAGGTTGTTCGGCAGTCGCAACTTCAGTGGGTATAGTCTCGTCTTCTTCGTCGTAGTCAATCAAATCGTCAGCGTGGTCAACCATTTTGGAGATATGGATAACTTGATTGAATGAATGAATTTAAAAATAGAGGGGGGGGGGGATGCGGTTTTGGTCGACACCAGATGAATGAAGAGATTTGATGGCAGAGGAATTTAGTAACTTTGAGATATTTTTAAATTGTTTTTTTCTCCTGACACAACTTGGAATTTAAAAAAAGGCGCCTTCCGCCGCATTCTGCTTGCTCTTTGCTCAATGCTCTTTCGGTACGAGAACGAAAAAATTTTTTAAATAAAGAACGAACTATAATATGTCGCTATTGTTGTTCAATAGCTTTGCGTAATATACCCCTGAATAATAATAATAATATTGAATCCGTTGTGTCGCCGAAAAAAATTTTGAAATTTTTTTTTGTTGTAATAATAAATAATACTTTTTTTTTTTAAGCACAAGTTATTATGACTAAATTTTCGAACAAAAAAAAGGACCCAATTTGCCATCTAATATCTGATATCGCAATGTCAAAAATAATTTTGTTTTTGCGTTGACCAAATGTTGGTATAATTCGTACGAACGTAAACGTCGTGCTTATGTAACTTGGCAAATAAATTAAAGCGAACCATCCAAAAAAAAAAAAAACTCCACTAAAAAAACCCCCAAAAAATGAAAGCCGTATTTTGGTGTAATAAAATCATCACCGGAGGTACAGGTCCAAAGACTAGTACGTGATGAAATATCCAAACAGTTGACTGAGAATAGCGAAGAGTAGATCCGATCACAACATCTCTCTCCGTGGGGCGTAGTCAAACATTGCTTGCTTTTTTTTTTTATTTATTTATTTAATTTTTTTTTTTTTTTAAAATCTTTTAATCAAAAAGTATTTTTATAATTTGGTGGCTTTTTATTTTTATAAAGTTAGCCACTAGGACCGGAGAGCTTTAACAAACGAGCAGAATCGGCGGTAGAGGCAAGCTTGGGTCGTCTTCTCTTCTCCGGTTCTTACAGAGACGACATACCTTGGGATACTTGGTCTTGTTTTAAAGATGAGAGTGATAGATTTGATTTGCGAGATTTGTTAAAAGGATGGATTTTTTTTTTTTGTTTTTGATGACAAGACGGAGACAAGGAGGAAAGGTGAGTTTATTTTTTTACAGAATAACAGAGTTTGAAAGTTTCTTCCCTTTTGTAGAGTAGTACACGGAGTCATTACGCCCGAAAAAGTCCGTTATCAATGAAAACACGTTACATTTAGTAATGAAGATCTTCACTGCGCCATAAACTCATTCAATTTGTAAATAATTTTAAATTACACAATTTTATATATATATATTTAATAAATTAATTTTTACTCTATTAAACAATTTAGGAAAACAATTTAAATAAATAATATTTTTTTTTAATTTAAAATGACTTTTTTAATATGGGAACATGAGATCCGAAGATTTTTTCTTGAGTGAATTTTTTTAATTCTATTCCGAATTCTTAAATAAAATGAAATAATGTAAGAAAAGTGATTGACAAAGTACAAAAATGATAGAATAAATGAACTAGAAATAATAAATCATAATAATAAAAAAAAAGAAAATATTAACCATTTTTTGATACAAGTCCAAAAAGCACATTCATATAAATATTTTAACATTCCATCCGGATTTGTAGTATAAGTAGTTTTGATTGTTTTCTCGTCCTAAAAAGATTTAAAAAAAGATTAAAAAAAAGATTTAAAAAAAGATTAAAAAAAATATATATATAAGAAAGTGGATTAAAAAAAAAAAATAAAGGAACGAAAAGAAGACGAAAATAAAAAAGGTCGTATAAAAACATAACGTTGAAAAACCACAAAGAAAAAATATAATTGATATAATTGTAAATGAACTTTACTTGAAATTGAAATCCAAAATCTTTCACTACTTTCTTCACTTGATCCAAACTCAATTCAATTGACATTTCACCAGGTGAATTTTCATAATGATATAATAATGGACCTAAAAAAAAAAAGGAAAAGAAAAACCCGAATAAGAAAACGTTATTAAAGTATTATTATGAAAAAAAGTTGATGAGAATATTATACCAATGTTAATCCAAAGTCCACCCGATTTTAGAATCCGATGAAAAATTTCAATATATTCTAAAATATTTTTCGCTGTATCAATGAAAAAACAAGTCACTATACAATCCCATCGTCCTATTTTAAAAAATAAAAATTAGATTCTATTTAATTCGTGATATTTTCAAGAAAAAAATAAATATAAAAAAAAAACAAAATGAACATTTTTATAAATTGATGTTATAAAAATCTACCAATATGTTGATCACCCGTATATACTTCTACAAAATCTCCCGCAACCATTGAAAAATTTGCATCTCGAGGAATATTACTTGGTAATACGTCAGGAATATGTATTGGTTTTAATTGATCATCAACCGAAACGATATTGGAAAAAGAATGAATGAAAGGATATATTTCGTATTGATGAATTTTTTCAATCCTAGAAAAATAATAATAATAATAATAATAATAATAATAATTTGATGAACAATTTGATGAATAATTTGATTCATTCTATAATAAAAAATTTTAAATTAGATTATAATATACCTGTTCAAAATAAAGTGTGATGATAATAACTGATTCATGTGATTTTAACTATTAGCATATTTTAAAGATGATTACTCATTTAAATATAATCGTTAATATAATTATAAAAGTGATTGACTATACCATATAAAACGAAAATTCATTTCCTATATATTATATATCATATATATATATGTGTGCGTGTGTGTGTGTTGGATTAGAGATAAAGATAATTAATGAAAATTTGATTTTTTTATTTATATCGTTACCTTGACAGCTAAAACCTGCAAAACATATAGATATATATATATTCAAGGGTTTTGTTATTTTTTTTTTAACAAATGTCAATAAAATATCTATAATTAAAATGTGAAAGAAGAGAGATAAAAAAAAAAAAAAAGAAGGAATATACCAAGAGAAACGATATCGAAAGCCAATCGTCCCAAACCAGCTCCGGGAACTAACACATTAATTGATGATCTGTATATTCATTTTTAATTAAAGTAATTAGAAAATTAAAGAAAAATCTACAATTCCAATAAATGTGAATTACCTTTCTTCAATGGGAATGTCTTTGTAAAAGTCAATCAACGTTCCAAGGAGAGGCTTAAAAGTAGAATCCCTTTCTGGTTGTCCCTATACATCAATAAATAAAATAATGTCAAGATAAAAATAATAATAAAATTATTATTATTAATAAATATCAATAACAAATAACATTATTTATCTTACTTCTAATGACCATTCTCTAACAAATTGTTTAATCGTGCTTCTTAATTTATCCATATCAAATTCTGTTACTTGTGAACTTTTAGAATCCTTATCATCTTCAACAATTAAATTATTCGAATTGATATCTTCCATATCTTCCTAACTCAATTAAATTAAATTGAATTCAATAAACGATTTATCATTTTAAATTTGAATGAATGAATGATAATTATATATATATATATATATATGTACGTTTTCTTCTTCTCTATCAAAAAGTCTACTATCAATCATAATTTTCTTTAAAACATGATAATTTTTAGAAATCGCTTTATCTATATTATTCAATCTTTCTAAATAATCCGGTATTAAGGTTTTATGACGTTCCGCCAACGAATGGTAATCATTTCTTCGACGATTATTTGCGGATAATGCATGTTTCTTATATAATGCAAAAGTACTGAGCACTTTACGGAAATGCTAAAAAAAAAAAAAAACGCGCAGTAGAAAAACAATTAGGAACAAAAACCGAATTAAACCTTCGAAACAACAAAAGTTATGACAAATTGAAATTTCGTCTTATTTATACCGTCGAACCTTGGTTTCTTGCTCTACAATTTCTTTTTCAACGTTGTCAGAATTATCAACAAACATTCCTAAAAATTATTTTTATTATAGTTATATGTATATTTTTTCCCGTATTATAATTATTTATACAGTAAGATAATCTTATCGTAATGCAAATCACGGGTTTACATAAAGTTGGTTAAACCGTGAAACCTCGAAATTTTTCGCGTTTTCCGCGTTATATATATTTTTTTCACAAATTTTTTTTCA